GGAGTAAAAATGACTTTTTGTGACTCGCCTGTAGTCACCAAAAGCGTGTAGCGTTTAGTACTTCTTATAAAAAGGCGCATTAAACGCTTTGCACGCTAAACGCTTTACTTTCTTTCTATGCGGCCGTGGGTTAATACCGTATGATCGACAAAAAACGGCGTTCAATTGGTTTGGAAATGAACATCAATGACATTCCGCATATATTTTTTCCGATAAAATGACAGCTATCGTCATTTCATAGCAATCGCTGACGCCGTTTTTTTTTCGATCATATTGTACTAAAGACATCAGTAATATTTTAAAAATTCACCTTTTGTTCCTTTTTTTGCACAAGTATAGTATAAGATACTTGTATGTAGAAAACGAATGCAATGGGTGGATTATTAGTGGATTATAAGCCACCACAAAAAAAAATACAGAAAATTTATTAAAGACAATTTTATTAAATTGAATTAATTTGATGGTGAAATATTTCTAATTAAAACATCTTTTGACATGAAATCAGCCCATGCTTTTCCAATAATAATTTAACTATTTACGTCTTTAAAAAAACAGGTTACGTGGGTTATTTTTAGATCCATCGCCTACATTATCTTATTTAACTTGCAAATACATTCGTTAAATGAAGGTCTAAATAACAATTTAACCAATTACCCAGAATACCCAGTGTCGATGTTAAATGCCAAACGTAACGCGCAGAAGGTATCATACAAACATTTTTTATTATTAATTACTTTATATCTTGGAATATCGATTTTTTTGTTGTGTTAACGTCGGTTTTGTGTCAGTGATTTACTGTAATATTTGAAGGACTTGGTCGATTCCTGTGTGCAATACGGCCTGCTACTGCGATAAGAGGCGACGCTCGGTGCCGAATAAAACCGCTCTTTCCCGGCTTAACTGGTTTCAGCCGGTTGCATTTTCAATACAACCGAACTTACTTACCGCGTTTAGTCGCTCGTTTCCAGACCTTTCTTGATGCATACTGGCTTATTGTTGCTTTTAATTGAGTGTCGAGATCGTCTTTGTCCAGTGTTGATAAAATAAAATACCTGATCGGTTCGGAAGACGGTCATTACCAGTCGAGATCGAGCTTTAACAGATAGAGAAGGAAATACTTGCAATATTTCGCTCGCGTTGGTGTTTTCTCCACTTGTTTCCGTTCTTCTATAATGATTTATCGTTGATCGAGTTAAATGGAATTCAATATACTGTGCTAAAATAAATCGTGTTTGTTTACATTTTTCCGGATTTACAGTTGACTTATGATCGGCGTATACCCGCTTTGCGCGAATTTCAACGGTGCACCATATTCATTTCCAAAGGAATGGTTGTTGGCGAAATCGTCGTCTTTCCTCAAAAAGAATCAGTTTTCCGTGTCCTGGATGGAGCAATGTACGAGAAAGAGGCCGGCCCAAAGTTCCATCTCCTTCTCGAGCAACTATACATTAGATGACATCAATTTTCGATTGAGATCGTCGAAAAGGAGAGACAATAGCGACGTGTACTTTTGCCACAGTCGTAGCTCAGTCGCCCTGATCTGAAATGGCTCAAGAAAACAGGCTCTACCTTCTGATACACACCATGACGATTGCCGATTGTGATTTCGTCATCCAGGCTCAATTTTTTCACACGTTCTTAGATGATCTGTCGCGAGTTGGCGACGCCAGGCTGATCGGTAGAAGGTTTAGCTTAAGAATCCACCCCAGCTTGAGAAGGAACAGGCACAAGCTAGCCGTGCAAAGACTGCAGATGCCGAACTTGAGGACGTTGATGAAGAGAAACTCTGCCGTGATAAAGCACAATGTTAGAACTGTCCACATGTACGTGATTATAGCAATTTTATTTTTCCTTAAATCACAAATCGTAGTTTTATTAAACTGATTTCGATATGACGAATTAATATTGGCAATTTTGGTGCGTTTGTTATTATAAACAAACTCCTATTCAAAAACGTAGCTAGGTTGCAGATTAAACTGGTTCAAACCAACAGTAACACATTACCTATCTACATGTTTTCTCTGATTATGGTTTGGCTAATTCAAATATACAATACCTATGATAGTGATCTTTGATTAATAATATAGGTACAAAATGAAAACTTAATTTAATAAATCATGTAACTTTTTTAGAGCTGATCTAATATTTTTTATCGATAAAATATGAAAAATTAAATTATCCATTTTTATCGAGAACTAAAAACACTTCGGCTTTTATTTTATTTTTCGTATGTCCAGCTAATAATTGCATGGTAATTTTTTTGACCCAAGTGTAGGTTTTTATATTGGTAACGATTTAGAACAGTCGAGGAAGGTCCTATAAATATGCACATACTTATATATTTTTGGTGTTTCTAATTGAATTTAAACTAAATTGATTTGATTTTATTGTTTCAACTCGGTTCAACTATTGTTGTTAGGTGCAGCATCATTAAGTTTATTTTGGAAAGCTATAAGATATAAGATACAATAAACATTTACAACAGTACAGCAAATAATAATCAAAATATGTATCAGTTTTTTTATATGTATAGGCATAAGCTAGAAAATATCAGTGGGTCTTTTATGATTGCGCGTAAATATTTTTATTTAAAAAGAATATGCAGTCTGCGGACTACGGAATCAGTTTTTAAACGTCTTACGACTCACAAAAAAAATTGACAAATTTTTTGCCCAATTTTATTTCACAGTATGGAGCTAGGGTATGTAATGTTGTGTACATATGTCATACTTGTCATGTTGTGTGAGTGGTTTACTCGTGCAATTATTTGTCACTCATTGCCCCGCGTGAGCGCCGAACTTGTTGTTTACAAATAAAAAAAAAATTGTTTACAAAGATGGTATACTTGCCAAGTACACGAGTTGTCAGAGTCCGGCTTAATATGCCTCAATTGTGGTCTTCCGCAAAATTGACATACGTATACGTACACATAATATTATCATTAGATAAACTACATGCAGTTAATGTAATGGCAATTTAAATGAACTTAAATGTCAACAAAGCACTTATATAGGCGTATCTATTTAAATTGCTTTAAAGAGTTCTGGAAATAGTTAATTTTTTAATTAATTTGTTTTTTTTCTGTAACTCGTAAAGAAGTGATATTTTTGGAAATAAAATAAATAAATTTTCTTACACCAATATATTTTCTGTAAGACACTCTGTTAAACTCGTTTTCTTTTGTTTATAAAATATCATATATTCTTATTAAATGTGGTATTAATAGTTATACAGGGGGTTTCAAAACGAGTGCGAAAAACTTTAAGAGGTAATTTCTTGTTAAAAATAAAGGGTAGTTCGTTATATAAATGTTGAGTCCTTGGTTGAGTCAAAAGTCAGCCATTAGGAAGATCATATAAAATCACATAAATATATATGAAGATATTATGATACAAAGAAAAATAATATTTTTATGTTTTCTCTTAAAATTAAAAAGCAATAAAATAATGGGGTATTACTACTACGAAAGCACCCTATCTGCTTATGTTATAACTTTTTAAAATAAGTGAAAGGGATCGAAATAGACTGGCCCTATTATTCTTGTTAGCTAAATTTAAAGAAAAAAATAATACGAGGGCATGAAAAAAATATATTTAGCCTGGTTTGTTTGGAAATTATTTTACCTACTGTATTCTTTATTTCGTATTTTTTCATTACCAACCTTACCGATACACAATTAAAACTAAATATAAAAAATTAGAACAAGAATCTAGTTAGTTGGCTGCTTACAATTTAATTTAAAAAATATTTCTTCTGTTTCAAACAAAACCACGAGTTGAGTGTATTTGAATATCGACGATTTATCGTAATTATTTTTAATACTTCGTATGATTATAAATAAATATAATTTAATGAGCCATAAAATTGTATTGAACTTTTTTTTTCTATTATGTTGCTTGTTGTGTAGCAGTAGGTGTTCTATTATGTGAAACCTTAACGAAATAGAGCTCTGTCGAACGGTAAATGTTGCTTTTTTACTTATTATGTTGGGTTTTACAACTGATTTGCGAATTAAGTGACATTAGATGAGATGAGCGATTAGACGGTTGACTGCGTTTATTTTTATTAAAAAATGTTTAATTTATATTATCAGAGTAATAACCAATCAACAGAATATTTCAAATAAATCCTGGAAACATGAAATGCAATAAAAATGCCTGATTTTAGATTAATTTATATTCATACTAATATTATAAACGCGAAAGTTTGTTTAGATGTATGGAGGAAAGTATAGTTCTTTGTTACTCTTTCACGTTAAAACTAATGAATGGATTTTAATGAAATTTTTCAATAATATAGCTTATACATCAGAATAATACATAGGCTATAATTTATATTATAATTAAGATTGTAAAAAAATAAAATCATAAAAACCAGGAGAGCAATAAAGTAACATACGGTTAGGTTGGTTAAACTCTGTCAAACGACTATCTTTATTCATAGACTATCAATTACAACTAGACACTTTGATGTAATTCATAGACTATCAATTACATTAATAGGCACTTTCAAATATTGCCACTATATGCTATAATAAATATTACACTTTACATTAATAAAATTCAAATTTTATGCCGACGAAATCGCGAGAAAAATCTTTTTTAACGAAAAATTTGATTCCTAATTTGGAATTATTCGAAGGAATAATTCAATTAACATCATTTTGTCACGAAGAAAATTCGGATTTTTTTTGTGGGTCAGTAAAAACGCGTTATGAAACTTCCATTAAATAATCATTTATTATGCCGTATATTAAAGACAATGGAATGATTGCGTTTATTACATAATTAATAAAGATTCGCAACAATTTGTCGAGCAATAATAACTGGCATTTTTTAATCAATTTCGTAAAAATCAAAACTTTAATTGGAACAAATTGATTGTAGCCGGTCGTGTTACACTCACACTAAATTGGAAGACAAATTATAACCTATTATTTTCAATTGGAAGTTTTAGATTAAAACTGACAGCTAATTTTGTATTGTTTTGTTCTATTGCAGCGGACCGGAAATTCAAAAGTCACCGATTGGCGGTCAGAACGAACCCGTCCTTGCCCAGCAAAACGTCAACCTTCAGAAAATATCTCTATGCGTCACACCGCCCAGTCCTCAGGAAAGTAAGGACGATAGTTCTAGCGCCGATGGACCAAACGAAGTAAGCAACAATACAATAGATCCTATCCATAGACGAATATAAAACAAACCAACTATACAGGGTGCTACAAATTCGAGGTACGAACATTGGTATCTCGGTTACCGTAATAGATATGAAGATGGTTAAATTGGGGCAAAGTTGCGCTTTGGGATCTTCACCAAGATGCCATCAAAAATGTTTTAAAGATTTCAAAGATTGCTGAGTTTTTTGGAAAAAACTGATTTTTTTGAAAATCAATTTTATTTTTTCCTGTCTTTACTTTTTAGAAACTCAAAAAACTAATTGCACTTTCTCATAGTCACTTTATTAGGGCTATCTGATAGTGTCTTTAGATTTTCAAATTAGCTGATAATTTGTGAGATACAGAGGCCAACTTAATTTTTTTAAATACGGACCTGCATTTTTTATTTCCGGTTTTGAAAGAACTCGGTCTCCTGATTACAATGATATGTCACACTTTATACTTTTTTTGTTTTGGATACCTTAACAGCAACAAAACTATTTAATTATTATTTAAAATAATTTCAAGTCCGACTCTTGTTTCTTAAATTATTTCTTATATTTAATCTGATTATATTCATCGCAACAATATTGATCAGCGTTAATTAACATTGAATAATATAAGGAAAATTGAGCCAATTGGAAGATTCTAATAAATAATATCCAGGTGAGAAATTTAAAGATATTATTTTTAATTTTTTTATTGTGAATTTGAAATATGAGTATGCAATCTAATAATATGCATAATATTAATCGTAGTTATTATAAATAAATCGACTTCTACAAACTAATTTCTAATGTTCTACATGTTCGACAGGGTACCATCCTCCCTATTGCACAAATTTATTTTTCGCCCAACTTTATTTATTGCTCTTTATAAGAAGAAAGTTTTCTTATACTTCCGGATGCATTTTGCACTCTTTACTGTAAATGTTCAGATGAATTGATTTCAAGTAATGTAGCCCCTTGGCGATAGGTCCAGGAACCTCGCTGGACATTATACTGCTCTACCATTTCCAATCCATCTTCCGGGAAAATTATTTGATTGTTTATATTATATTGTCAAGAAAAATGGCCTATCCGCCAGAAATTAAAAATGTATTACTGGTTGCCTGCACAACCCCAACGTATCCGCCAGAAATTAAAAGACTTTTTCAGGCGCCATCTTTTAGTCAAGTCGAGAAGTAAGGGAATCAGACAATAGAATTGTCTGGTATGAAGAAGTACGCTTTCCGAGAATTGGGGAAATTTCGAGAAGCAGTCAATAGAGTATATAAGCCGGAGCCATCGACAACTGAGACAGTTTTTGAAATTTGAATATACCGCGTGGAAATTGAAAATCGGACAATTTGGTGAAGGAATCTTATAAATAGTTAGTTTGTTGTGTGTTATAAGTTAGTAATTGTGTATAAAGTGAGAAAATAAATTCGTTAGGTATTTTATCGTGAGTTTAAATTAGTGGACCCACGGAATCCGTAACAATTGGTGTCGGAAGTGCGATTCAAGAGGATTTTAAGAAGAAATTAAGTGGATTGGACGATTTTTACACCGAATTTGGGAATTTTTATGGTTGGTACGAGACAGCAAGCGAAGAAAATGGAGGAAGTAAGCAAACTATTAGGCGATTTTATGGAGAATATGAGAAGAGAAAAGGCAGAAGAACAAGAGAAGCTGCGAAAAGAGAAAGCAGAAGAACAAGACCGCCTACTGAAAATTCTGGAAAATCAAGACAAAATTTTCGAAGATTTGAAAATTCAACGACAACAAGACAAAGAAGAAGAACAGGACCGGCTTGAGAAAATTTTAGAAGATATGAAAATTCAACGACAACAAGACAAAGAAGAAGAACAGGACCGGCTTGAGAACATTTTCGAAGATTTGAAAATTCAACGACAACAAGACAAACAAGAAGAACAGGACCGGCTTGAGAGAATTTTTGAAGATTTAAAAATTCAACGACAACAAGATAAACAAGAAGAACAGGACCGACTTGAGAAAATATTAGGTAATTTAGAAATTCGTTTGGAGGAGCGACGTCATAGAGAAAGACAAGAAGATCAAAACAGTCTTAAAAAGAACTTCGAAGATCTGGAAAAAAGACAAGAAATACACCTTCAAGAAGCCGTAGAAGATCTGGAGGAGCGCCTTCAACAGAAAATGGAAAAATTAGAGAAGGACCTACAGAAGATCAAGGCACAAGCAAGGACACCTGGCGTTCCTGGAACTGCAAACCTCAAGGCCCCGACCTACGATGGACAAACCACCTGGACGATGTACCACCGCCAGTTTGAAGCAGCCGCCGCTGCCAACGGATGGTCCGACCAGGACAAAGCAGCGGCACTTGTCATCGCGCTGCGTGGCCCTGCCTTGGAACTGCTGCAAACTATTCCTGCAGCCCAACAGCAGGAATACGAAACATTGGTTGCTGCACTGGACAGAAGATATGGCGACCAACATCGACGTCAACTTTACCAGGCCCAAATCAAGACACGCCTGCAGAGGTCCGAGAGAGTCTGCAGGAATTCGAAGCAGACTTACGTCGGCTGGTACACCTGGCATATCCAGAAGCACCGGAAGGATTTAGGGAGGAACTCGCTGCCCAGTGTTTTATCAGCGGACTGAGGGACAACGAGTTACAGAGGGCGCTGCAAATATCCCGATTTTCTACCAGCAGCGAAGCACTGGTCAGGGCGCTGGAAATTGAAGCTGCTTTTAGCACCATCCCTAGACCGAAGATAAGATCGGTAACGGTCGAGGAACAGCCCGGAAGTTCTCACATACGTTTGGAGGAGATGTTTAGTAAACTATGTGAGTTACTAGTGAACAAGAGTAGCAACAACACCCAGACAGAGAACCATAGAAGATCCCAGGACATAAGGTGCTATAGATGTGGCAGGAGTGGCCACATCAAACGGGATTGCCGCGTTCAAATGCGATCCCGTTCACCATCCAGAGAACGTAGGCACCAGGAAAACTAAAATCAGTCAATACTAAGGGGCGAGTATTGACTGGGGAGAACAGAGCCCCCAGGATTTTTTCCATTAGAAGTCTAGGAAGAACCGCTGACAGTTTGGTGATCGACGGGAAAGTCAATGGAAAGGGAATCCGAATGACAGTGGACACTGGCGCTATGGTATCGTTGGTGCGGGCTAACTCAGTGCAAGGATTGAAGCTGATGCCTCTGAGAAGAAGAGTGTGTTTACGTACAGTTACGGGGGAAATGGCCGTTGTACGGGGAGAGGCTATCGTCGAACTGAAGTTAGGAAATTTGAAGTTCCAGCATAGCGTTTTAGTGGCAGATATTGAAGATGACTTCATCTTGGGCATGGATGTGATTCGTCAACATGGATTTTCGTTCGATCACCAGAGAAATATCCTGAATATCGGAAATGAAGAGTTTATGTTATCTCCAGAAGAGGGACCAGGAAGAATGGATGTAAGATCAGCGGAAACTGTGGTGATACCTGGTAATACCGAGAAGATCATATTCGGTAAAGTGGAGAAAATCGCTGGGTGCTGTGTTGGACTGGTACAAAGTAGCGACGACAAACAAGATAGGTACTTAGTAGGAAAGTCATTGGTGAACACCGACAAGAATATACCGATCAGAATTGCGAATATTTTCCCGAATTGTGTCAAGATCCAAAAAGGTGACAAGATAGCCATCTGCGAACCTGTAAGAAGTGTCACCCGATGTGATGAAGTGTCATCAGCTGTTACACAAATGGCATCCAAAGAAACATTAAAACATCTAGAGCAGCCATGGGATCACCTAACATCTGATGAGAAACAGAAGGCTAAGGAGTTCCTGTTAAAGCATGGCAGTATTTTTGAAAAGAACAACAGTGGAAGAACGGATCTTGTGATGCACCGGATTAATACTGGTCATGCTCAGCCGATTCGACAACGTTCTAGAAGGGTACCCCTTTCCAAACAACAAGAAATGGAGACAATGGTAGATAAGATGCTAGAAGATGGAGTTATCGAAGAATCATCGAGTCCATGGTCATCTCCTGTTGTTTTGGTGACGAAGAAAGATGGTAGTACACGATTCTGCGTGGACTATCGGAAGCTCAATGACGTCACTAAGAAGGACAGCTACCCACTGCCACGTATAGACGACACGTTAACCACACTGGCAGGTTCGTGCTGGTTCTCCACTCTCGACTTAAAGAGTGGATACTGGCAAGTTGGTCTGGACGAGGAAGACAAAGAAAAGACGGCTTTTTCTACAGGAAACGGACTATACCAATTCAAGGTCATGCCGTTTGGATTATGCAATGCTCCAGCCACTTTCGAACGTCTCATGGAGGTGGTGTTAAGAGGATTAACTTGGAAAACGTGCTTGGTTTACCTCGACGATGTATTGGTTATGGGAAGAACTTTTGAGGAGCATTTGCGAATTTAGAAGAAGTCTTTGGCCGCATACGGAATGCTCACCTGTACTTGAACCCGAAGAAGTGTAGCTTATTCCAGCGACAAGTGGAATTCTTGGGTCATGTAGTCTCGGCAGACGGAATTTACACCGACCAGAAGAAAATCGCTGCGATCAAGGATTGGCCTAAACCTCGCGACAAACATGAACTTAGAAGTTTTCTGGGTTTATGCACCTATTACAGAAGATTTGTCAAGGGATTTGCCAATATAGCTGCACCCTTACATAGACTTACAGGTGATGAAGTCGGCTACGAATGGAACACCGATTGTGATGTAGCCTTTGGAAGACTTAAGGCGGCTTTATGTTCAAGTCCTATTTAGCCTACCCGCAACAACAAGGGAGGTATATCCTGGATACCGACGCCAGCAATATCGGCATAGGTGCAGTGCTATCACAAGTGCAAGATGGCGAAGAACGAGTGATAGAATATTACAGTCGAGTTCTATCCAAACCAGAAAGGAATTACTGCGTTACCCGGAAGGAGCTGCTAGCAATTGTGAAGGCAGTTGATCATTTTCATAAATATCTGTACGGCCAAGAATTTTTAATTAGGACAGATCATGCGGCTCTCAAGTGGCTTATGGAGATGAAACAACCTGAAGGTCAAATAGCACGATGGCTCGAGAAGCTCCAACAGTATCACTTTACCATCCAACATCGTGCTGGAAAAATGCATGGTAACGCAGACGGTTTATCCAGAAGACCCTGTCAAACCGATTGTAAGCACTGCTGTAAAAGGGAACAACGTGAAGACACTGTCATGATAAGGAGTTTTAAACTTGGAACCGATGAACAGTGGACGACGGCACAATTGAGGAAAGATCAAATGGAAGATCCAGACATCGGAGCAATACTACGGCTCAAGGAAGGTAACGGCGAGAGACCACCGTGGCAGGATATTGCGGACAGAGGGCTGGTTTTCAAAGCTCTCTGGGCTCAGTGGAATTCACGGGTGATTGAGAATGGATTGTTAAAGCGCACGTGGGAAAGTGCAGATGGCAGGACAGTAACAACTCAGTTACTGGTACCAAGGAAGAAAGTTACCCAGGTATTGGAAGAAATTCACGGTGGTAAAACTGGAGCCCATCTTGGAGTAAACAAGACCTTGAGCAAGCTGAGAGATCGTTTTTACTGGGTGGATTATTGCGAAGATGTCAAGAAATGGTGTCGACATGTAAAACTTGTGCAGCCAGCCAAGGACCAAGCACTCGCTCTAGGGGAAAAATGAAACAATATAACGTTGGACTGCCATTCGAAAGAATCGCTGTTGACATTGCAGGCCCATTCCCTGAAACGCACAAGGGCAACAAGTACGTTTTAGTAGCGATGGATTATTTCAGTAAATGGCCAGAAGTTTTTGCCATTCCAAACCAAGAAGCATCGACTGTAGCTGAAGTATTGGTCAATAATGTCTTCAGTAGATTTGGAATTCCCTTAGAGCTTCACACTGACCAAGGAAGGAACTTCGAGTCAAGACTGTTCCAGAAGATGTGTGATCTGCTTGGTATTCACAAGACTAGGACAACAGCTTTACATCCGCAGTCTGATGGGATGGTCGAAAGATTCAATAAGACCATTGAAGAACACCTCTCGAAAATGGTGGCCGAACATCAAAGAGATTGGGATCAACACATACCGCTGTTCCTAATGGCGTATAGAAGTGCAGTTCACAACACCACCGGACTTTCACCATCGAAGATTTTATTTGGTCGAGAATTACGGTTGCCTTGTGACTTGGTGTTCGGATCACCAGACGACGGCACCACAAATGTAGAGGACTACGCGGATGAACTGAAGGAAAGGTTAATGGAAATTCATAAGGCCGTAAGAAGTAAGATTACGCTAGCCAGTGACCGGATGAAAGCTCGTTACGACCTCAGAGCCAATTCTACGGGATTTCAACAGGACGATATGGTATGGTTATATAACCCACAGCGCAAGAAAGGGAGGTCCCCAAAGTTAACTCCAGCATGGGAAGGTCCTTATACAGTCATCAAGAGGATAAATGATGTTGTGTACCGGATTCAACGCAGCCCTAGAAGTAAGATGAAAGTAGTTCATCTGGATCGATTGAAGAGATTCAGACAGGAAACCTTGATCGGGACGATCAAATTTGAGAAGGGGGCAATGTCAAGAAAAAATGGCCTATCCGCCAGAAATTAAAAATGTATTACTGGTTGCCTGCACAACCGCAACGTATCCGCCAGAAATTAAAAGACTTTTTCAGGCGCCATCTTTTAGTCAAGTCGAGAAGTAAAGGGAATCAGACAATAGAATTGTCTGGTATGAAGAAGTACGCTTTCCGAGAATGGGGAAATTTCGAGAAGCAGTCAATAGAGTATATAAGCCGGAGCCATCGACAACTGAGACAGTTTTTGAAATTTGAATATACCGCGTGGAAATTGAAAATCGGACAATTTGGTGAAGGAATCTTATAAATAGTTAGTTTGTTGTGTGTTATAAGTTAGTAATTGTGTATAAAGTGAGAAAATAAATTCGTTAAGTATTTTATCGTGAGTTTAAATTAGTGGACCCACGGAATCCGTAACAATATTATATTTATATTAACTATTTTATATTATTTTATTGCATTTGATTTTTCGTACTTATTCAATGTTTTACCCCACATCATTGTTAAGTTTGAAATCTTATCAATATTGTAACGATGAATAGATTAAATATTTTAATAAACAGAGCTGGACTTGAAATTATATAGTTTAAATTAATTATGTTCAAATGTCAAAACAAAAAAAATATATTAAGTGTGGCATATCATTGTAATCAGGAGACCGAGTTCTTTCAAAATCTGAAATAAAAAATGCAGGTCCGTATTTAAAAAAATTAAGTTGGCCTCTGTATCTCACAAATTATCAGCTAATTTGAAAATCTAAAAATTCTATCAGATAGCCCTAATAAAGTGGTTATGAGAATGTGCAATTAGTTTTTTGATTTTCTAAAAAGTAACGACAGGAAAAAATAAAATTTATTTGGAAAAAAAATCAGTTTTTTTCAAAAAACTCAGCAATCTTTAACATTTTGAAAATTTTTTTGATGGCATTTGGTGAACATCCCAAACCACAACTTTGCCCCATTTTAACAATGTTCGTATCTATTACGGTTACCGAGATACCAATGCTCGTACCTTGAATTTGTAGCACCCTGTATACATTAATTTATTTTGATCCAGCATATAAAAGTAGAAATGTAAAAAGACTGGTTGGTTTGGTTGGTTATTTTTAATTTGGTTTGATCTATGGAGGGTAGAGGTAAAAAAAGGAGAATCATCTCTTATGGGACTTTGTTTTTTAAAAGTTGTCACCTAAAAGGGGTAAGTAAGGGTTCACTAAATGACCACAGTGGCGCTAATAAGCAATAAGGGATCGAACTGATCTTAGCGGTTATAAATAAAGTGAAGTTAATCATAAAAGTGTGACAATACGCACCTGCAAAAATCGCATTATCTCTCTAATTATTTCTTGTTCTAAAAATTTTTAGCGCTTTTTTTTAATGTAGAGCTTTTGCTACGGCAGCGCTATCTTAACTATCCCCTTTTTGATGACCACTTTTCAATAGGTGCACTACTTTTCAATAACAACACTCTAGTAATCATCTACTTACTCTACCATCTAGTAATCATGTAGATGTAAAGTTTTTGGCGTAGTTTCAGGATCTTCATATTAAACAGAAAAATAACAAACAAATAAATATCTATATTTACGTCTATAATACATTTAGCAATTGCATAAACAGAAATTAACCAGGATTGTACGCATGAAAAAATGCATCATAAAGAATTTTATGAGCTTCAATTTTTTATTTATAGTATTTTATGTATTGAGCATGTTTTCCGAGATATATGCAAAGAAAGTGTAAAAAATTGATTTCTTACCCCTTCCTCCTCTTCAAGCTGCCCATCAATCTTTGGACTTGGCACTTTTGACGCATAATATGCATCATATTATGAATCCAAGTCTGGAGATAGGGTTGTTTCGTACAGTATGTTTCGTAAATAAACGCTTTTATAGTCAAATATACATATATTTTATACATCAAATAAACTGTCACGTGATTAAGCTTGCCACAGCGTTGCCCACTTTTACATATTTTCTTTTAATAAAATTATTTTTGGGGAACAAAAATAAATTATAACTATATAAACAGTTATTATTTATATCAATAAAACTCACCTTCTTAACAGCATTTAAAGGACATAAAAGGCCATTACTACCACTTTCCCGTTCAAAATATTCTAATAAAGTTGCGATGAGTTTTTTACGGCTGATAAGCTATCTTGTACACATCGTACTAAAAGAGATTCTAAAAAGAACAATGTTCGACTGCAAAGTCTGCTAGTAAATATTTTTTAGCTTAAAGTTTCACATAGCTATTTATTTAACCAAAAACTCGTAATACAAAACTAAAGTATCAAAACGAATGACAATGTCAGGAAATAAATGTGGCAACTTGACATTTTTTACAGCAGAGCTACCATCTGAATCCCCAGCGGGATATTTAAATTGCAGTCAGCCCGGCGCCGAATATGTCCATGGTTGGCAACAATGAATTTAAAAATCGCGCCCTCGATTACGTAACTAAGAGTTTAATTGGTATGAAATATAGTATTATATATCTGATTATGATATATAAACAAGAAAGAAATAGTGAGAGAAATGTACAAAAGAGAAGAAAAATATTAAACGGCTCAGTCCTGAACTACTCGCAACCGTATACACCAGTGTACACCCAGTGCAGACACGCACACTCACAAACTCACACAAACACACCTACACTAGTGTACACTGATGTTACTGCCTTCAGGCCTCATCAGTACGGTAAGGAATCAGGAAGTGATGAAACCGATCCCAAAACACAAAAAAACCAGGAAGCAAACGATGCAACGAGGCCACGAGTTCAGGCAACGAGGCCTGAAGGCAGTAACATCAGTGTACACTAGTGTAGGTGTGTTCGTGAGTGTGCGTGTCTGCACTGGGTGTATACGGTTTGCGAGTTGTTGAAGGCTGAGCCGTTTACTATTTTTCTTCTTATCTGATTATATACATCCGGTTTCCATATCTTAGGTTTATTCTATATTTTGTACAGTAAGGGTTAATTTATTTATATGAATTGTCTGATGTAGTAAATTGCATTTTTTTTTTGTAGCTGTCATTTGATCAGTTAAACCAGCATGGTACACCCGAAGAGACCGTGCGCTGGTTGACGGCGAATCGATTTGAAAAATACTTGGAAACGTTCTCAAGATTTTCTGGATCAGATATGCTTCGATTGTCGCGTGACGATCTCATTGACATTTGCGGACAAGCCGATGGAATTAGATTGCACAACGCTTTGCACCAAAAGTAAGAACATATAGTTTATAATTTAATTATTATTGATCAGTTGTTCGGTGGTCTATATTATTTTTAACTTACCTTATTGTCGATGGATTGATTCGTTCTTTTCTTTTGTAAAGATCTTTTTTTTATTTTAACAGCAGTTAATATTTTTTTCTATTTAAAATTTTCCTCATTCTATGTTTTGTTTTCAGAGCTATAGCTCCCAAACTGAAAATATACATCTGTCAGGAAAACTCTACAGTTTTCAATGCCGTTTTTCTGTCGTCCCACAATCATATGGAACTTCTTCAAAAGCTTTGCTCCATGGTAACCATTACCTGCGATCAAGTCAAAGCCATTTATGTGGAAGGTCCCCATTCTATACATATCCAATTAAGTGACGATGTTCTTCAACACGTTGAAGAAGAGACCATGTTTTCCTTAAGTATCATGCAGGAAAAAGGAAATTACATATTTTTACTAAAGCGGAAAATCAAAAAGTGATGGCTGTTGTAAATATGCTTTACTATTGATGTAGTATGCAAGAATGAGATATTTCCATTTTTTTTTATTAGCAATACTGAGTATTGTGACTTTCTTGCAAATTATACCAATACCTGAAGAAGTATTTTAAAATAATAGCAAGATGAATGACACGAAGAAACGTTTACTTGGTCACAGTAAGATGAAATAATTTTAATTTTATGTTATTTTGGTATATATACCATAAGATCGATACGAGAAAGTTATCATAGAAAATCGCTGTCATTTCAAATAGAATAAAATTTCAGATGTCAACGATCGTCACTTTCAAGGCAACTTAACTTTTTTCGATCGTACGGTATATATATATATATATATATATACCTGTGTTATGATTTATTATAGAATCCATTATCCCATTTTATTATTCAATGATATATATTTTAATAAATAATATTATTCATCGCTGTTAGTATTATCTACTCTACATTGCTAATTTTTTTGTCTACATGTAGTATAAACTTATGATAAAAAGAAAAACATTTTTTTCTTTTCGACGTACGTGCCTTACAAATGCCTCATAAATGAATTAATATATTTTAATACAGAATATTTTACTGAATTGTACGTCGTTACAAAAAAAGCGTAGTATTTACAGATTTTACTCATGTTAAACATAAAATTATAAATAGTTTAGATATAGCTGCATGGTTTAGTTCTTTTGAAGTAAAAAATATCACTAATTTTCGTATAAAATACGAAGATATAAGATATATTATTATTAAGGATATATAATTATTACTAAGGGCCGGTTCTTCAAAGCAAGTATATACCAGGTATATCCAATTCTTGGAATATCTATTAAAATTCCCATTCAAAAAGTATAAAATGTTTGGAGAATAATTATCCCGAATTTATACTTGCTTTGTAGAATCGGCCCTAAGGAACAAAACAAGCTGTATATGTACAGGGTGGGTCAAATTGGACGCTTTTAAAGGGAAACACCCTTTTCTATAGGAGATAGACGAAAACTAATATCGGTATCTGGAGCTCAATTTTTATCAAAAACATGATGGTGAAAACCGCATATGGATATCTGTTACCGTTTCGGAGTTACGGGGTGTTTTTAAAAAATGTGCATTTTTAACAAATCGCTGTAACTTTTTTGCTATGGAAAATTTTGTATTTTTATGAAAACATTTCCAAAGCATCTTTGTACGTAGAATTTAATAGTTTAAGTATATATTTTTTTAAATTAATAATTTAAGCGTTATCAACAGAAAAATTATTTTTTTTATTTAGGACACCCTGTATATTTTTAATTAAATAAAACGAACTTAAAATTACCTTTCCAAAAATATAGCACACTTGATATTTTGTTATATTCTGCATGGAAATACAGAATTTTTTAAAGTTCGCCACTTAACTAGTAGGCTTTGGACCCCTTATTGATGATTTGCCCCTAATGGAACTCGAAAATATATTTTTCCAGCAAGATGAGGCATCGCATCAGAACGCTGAAGTTATTAGCAAATTTTTGCAGCCAATTTCGAGAATAATTGAATAGCTAACCAAGATTCCAGCCGTTGACCATTGAGGCCGCCGCCGAGCTTAGTGTCAATAGATTTTTACCTTTGCGAAAGAATAAAGGTTTTTATTTTAAAATTGCCCGTGTAACCTAGACAAGAATTAGAAGTACTTAGGGGTTATGTGAGGGTAACTTTCATCCACTGACGTAATGAATTCCGCGAGAAATGTTCCAAAACGGTTCCGTCTGTCCATAACAAAAGACGGTCGACATGTCGAACAACTGTAGCAAAATCTCATCTCTTGGTTTGCTATTAATTTTTATTGTGATTATATACAGCTTAAATGTGTTGATGTTGTTAAATATAATTTAAATTGTTATAAAATTTTGCATCTCTCATTGTAAATATTATTCTTGTTTTAACTGCTACTACAAGGAAGATTTTTTTTTGCATTACAGCCGGCGCAGTTCAAAGCCTACTTATTCAAAGTGGGCGAATTTTTAAAAACTCTATATCTCGAAGGGGAATCAAGCAAAATATCAAGTATGCTATATTTTTGGAAAGGTAATTTTAAATTATTTTCAAGAATTAAAAATATACAGGGTGTCCCATATAAAAAATCAATTTTTTTGTTGATAATTCTTAAATCATTAATTTAAAAAAAAGTATACTTAAACCATTAAATTCTAGTTAAAAAGGTGCTTTAGAAATGTTTTCATAAATTTACAAAATTTTCCACAGCAAAAAAGTTACAGCGATTTGTTAAAAATGCACATTTTTGAAAAACCAATGTAACTCCGAAACGGTAATAGATATCGATATGCGGTTTTCAGCATCATGTTTTTGATAAAGATTGGGCTCCAGACACCCATATTAGTTTTCGTCTATCTCCTAGAGAAAAGGGTGTTTCCCTTTAAAAGCGTCCAATTTGACCCACCCTGTACAGCAATTGATTCTGACGTGCCTAAAAATTGAATTGTTTAAAGAAGTAGGTGATGATGCTGTTATATCTGTAGTATCAACTGTTTAAATTATATTCTTCATCATCCAGTCTACGTAATATGCAATCAATGTAATGGAATATAGGTAGATTTCTAAATAAGATAAAACTCCATTACTGTTGATCAAATAATTTTAGTTTTTAATAAAGATGTTAGAGATTGGTCAAGGTAATTTTGGCCTCCAGAAAATATTAAGGAATTTTTAATCTTGATGTCTCTAAAAGATATCAACTACCATTGATTGACACTGCATACGTCTGTTATGTTTATGCGTGTTAAGGAAATCAATAATGAATAATCTGTATACTAGTACAAATTTTCAAACACAAAAGTATGAAACTCTGTGTTTGAGCTTTTTTTTCAGTTAAGTACAAAAACTTATTTTTAGTAAAGTTATTCCATTATAAGTGTATTAAAAATAATACATAATCGCTTTTTATATAGAAAAAACATTGTGCCTTGTGCCTACTAACACTAAGCTTAAGTACTGTCATATCTCAGTGATGTATTCATGGTAGTTTACTCTTCTTTAAATATCATTAAAATGAATACCTACTTCAAGACAGATTAGTTAAATGTGGAAATAAAAAGAAAGCTATCAAGTTACCTTATCAATGACGTTCGCTGACATTCACCATATAGTTTTACATTTAAAATATAGAATGTCATTTGTAAAGTAACTTGATGCCGTTTTTTTTTTCAAGATTTGTCTAGCGTGTTTTAATTCAATTTGACATTGTATTAAACTGAGTACATTATACCGTATGATCGAAAAAAAAACGGCGTGCAGTTGACTTGGAAATGACGATCGATAACATTCCTCATATAATTTTACATACAAAATGACAGAAATCATTTCCAAGCCATCTGTGACGCTATAATTTTTCAATTGTATGGTATTTCTTTTAGTGACCATATTTCCAGAAGAGTATGTACTTCAGTTATTGTGGTTCGTATGGATACATATTGTGCAATATTTTTATATATTATGTTTCAATTGTATCTACCAATATATATGTTACTTCATATTTTGTCCCAAACAAATTATATTTCTAGAAAATGATATCAATATCTTGATTTTTGATCATATTTTACATAATATAGATGTGCCTAGATCTCATATTTTAACCACCTCAGTTTTATATCTAAAATTAAAAGAATATATTATGTTACTTTATATAATCAATTATATATCTTTGTACTATACTTTTATTAACATTTAGATAGGCACTTATATATTTAGGTCTTTGCTAATAGAAACAGTATGATTAACTCTACAATAACTAATATTTTACTAACAATATATTTTAGATTACTGGTCTACGACCAATAGTTATTGTTATTTTTTAAGTAAAATTTAATATTTTAGTACCAACCAACTTTATTTTACAATATAATTTTAAAAAATTTACGTGGTATTAGCTATTGCTATGTTAAGTTTCATTATTTTTACATTGAAAATTTACTGTTATGATTTTTATTAATTGATATATTGGGTTTTTTGGATTGTTATTTTAATACCAATAAAATATTGAATTATGTATATTTTTTTTATTTATATCCACAAAAGAACGTTTTTATTGTGCTTTAAATAGGTATAGAAAGAAATAAAGAGATTAAAAATGTTAAATTAACATGAATCATATTAAAATAAATACTGAAATATATGTACTGAGAGTACTTAACTATCTTTGAATATAAAGACTTGCATTATGCTTTTAATTTTCACTAATATTGGACTGAAATACGATACGCCACTGTCAGACCGGAAACGTGGTCGGCCATTTTGAAATACTATTCCGGACTTTCAAGCGATGCTTATCCTCCTTCCTTAGTAGCTTAGTAGTGATTTACTCCACTACTAAGGAAGGAGGATAAGCGTTCAAGCAAGTAAAATCACTGAGAAAAGTCGCTTCCTTCTCGAAAATTTTTTTTTGAAGGTATAACCACATAAAATCGTTATGAAATGATCGGTTAGGGCTTTGTGCATGTGAAATGACTAATTACGACCTTTTTTGGGGGGGGTCAGAAATTTTTTATCCCGGAAAATGTCAAAAATATATAAACATGTTTTTTTACCTTTCCTACGCGATAACTCCTAAACTAATCAACTTATTCACAAACTCTTTTTTTAATCGATTGAGAACACATAGGCGGTGATAGCTAAGGTAATTAAAGTTCCATAGTGAGTGTATTTCTTTTTGGAAAATGGATTAAACTTCAAACATTAACTTTATTGTATCATGATTTTCGGTAAACGAGAAACTTTTTTATTTGAAGGAATTTTTACATAGTGTCTGCGTACGAAATAAAGAAAGAATATTAAAAAGGTTTTTAAAAGTTGTTACAACCTTGTATTACTAATATTTTTATAGTTATTCTGATTTAAAGTTATCATTATCCCGTGCGCGCCCTATAGTTAGACGCCGCGCAATACCGCCCGGCCTACATCACGTTGTACGGCGTGCTAGATGTGGTATTAATTTATGTTTTAGAGTAAATGTAGAAAATTCTTTTTAAATAATTATTTAATATGTGAGTAGAGCACATATATGTAGGTGTTGATTTAATATGAAATATTTTTGTAATATTTTTTTATGAAAACATGATTACATTATTTTTATTACATAATAAGGACATATCTTGAAGTTTGCATCGGATTGAAATTCTTTTATTAAACTACGAATTTCTTCTTTTAATATAGATGTTATTGTTTCTGTTTTCTGATTTTGATCTTCATACCACTTACATAAAGATTTAAACAAAAGTCTAAAAAGAGCATCGGCAACTAAAGTTAGTCCTCGGATAGCCCTGGAATATTATTTTTCATCTTACATCATTTTACAAGTATTGTCGACGTAATTAAATTAAGTTAAAGTGGTTTTCTTAAAAATGGCAAAAAGGCCTCCATCTCCAAAAATATACCCAATACTGACAAAAAAAGCCAGATAAAGGATTCCGCCTACCATTCCTGCCAAATGTTAATTTCCCATGTAATAATTTAGGATTATTCCGTAATATTTCGCGAGCTTTTAAATAAATGACGTAGTGTGCTATTATATAAATATGGTTTTGTTTTAAAGTTTTGAGCTAAATCTACTAATCTTACCATCGAAGTATATATGATATCACATTCGGTAGGTGAATTATTTATAAATGGCAAGTATAATATTTTGAAAACAAAAATTTCGTGTTGTTAATATCAATCCAGTTTAAAAAGGTTTCTTCGTACTTAACACTGCGAATAATTTGACATGCTAGATTCTTTTTTAGATTTTTCTCTACTTCGAATCTTCGTTTTAGATTATTTTCTATCCAACGTTATATATTTTAAGGAAGGATGTTAGGCTAGATAATATTTATTTGATCTCTAACTATAACAAAGTATTGTTACAAAGCCTAATAAGTATCAAACATTGTTAAAATTGAATTAACTTAAGCTTATACTTACATTATATAACTACAGTTAAATAAAAAGATAATACATATGCATGTATGCATATTACATTTTATTAAATAAGTATTACTACTTATAATAATATT